ACATGCCTCATCATTTATTAGCTTGTAGAACAACCTTATCTTTATCTTTTTGGTTCTGTTTTGTATTTCCATTGTTTAAACCTGCTTCCGTTTATGAAAGTTCAGGCTAAATTGACGTATCACCATCTGTCAATCAATCCAGGAGGTTTGACTAATATTGACCAATGATTTATCACAGTTTGTCTCAAGATAAACAGCCCTTACATGCAGGAGAGTTTGCCCCTTTATCGTCAACAATTGGTTTGGATTTTGCATTATGAACGCACAAATCTGAATTTAGTTTCAAAAACAAATGCAAAAGCTCTCGCCAATGAGATAACTATTTATATATATTTTTATCTTCATTAATGTTTTGTAGTGCTTTACAAATTTATCTTTTAACTATAAATTTAAGTATAAGCCTATTTTTATAATTATGTGGCATTCATCTTTGTGTTTGGGCTATTTTTCAACAAAACACATAAACCTGATGAAAGCTTCTGGGTACTATAACTGTGGGTGCATCAGTCTCCTCTCTTATGAAGTGTCCCCATTAACTTTCATCATAAAGTTACACCCTTGTTGAATTTGTGTGCTTATGAAGATATCTTTTTTTAAGGTAGTCATTTAAAAGCGCAAACTGACTCACAGGATAGAGAGCAGCCTGGGGTCTTTCCACAACCTGTCCTGTGATATTATAAATCAATATTAAGCCAAATTTGTTGATGAGGGGACAATAGAAAGGAGGCACAGTGGCCTGCAGTAAGATTCTGTTTCTGTTTGGCTGTGACTCCATCCTGGAGAGAAATATGAGCTGTGCTGCTGCCATCAACACCTTTATTTATAGATGCTGGAGATTGGCCTGTTTTTGAGTGTAGTCCTGTTTATCCGACCATGACTGGCTGCATGTGCTCTCTTCATCCTCTGACATGGAAGCTGGCTCGAAGCTCGTCTGCCTGGCTGTGTGTTTCCTGGAAGGGGCTGCCTTTTACCATTTTACCTTTTGTTTTCTCTGCTTCTGTCTCCTTCAACCCCAGTCAGCCTCAGCTGATGGCCGCTCACACTGAGCCTGGTACTGCTGGAGGTTTCTTCGTGTTAAAAGGGAGTTTTTCCTCCCCACTGTCGCTACAAGCATGCTTAGCATGAGGGATTGCCTTATAGTCAATGAGTCAATGCAATCAACTTGTTTTCCTTAGATAATACTGAGTAATACTGAGCAACTGATCTACTTACTACTAGGGGTGTGCAAAATAATTGTCATGATGATGCATCGTGATTCTAATTTTCGTGATCTACTGCATCGATTCTTGATGCCAAGTATCGATTATTAATAAAAAAATAAATAAATAAATAAAATTGCATGAATGGTTGGCGAACATCAGCCAAAAACAAGTGTAATACAACTTCCAGTCCAGTAGATGTCGCTGCGGATGTGTTGACGCACGCTGCCTTGTGTCACAAGCATTTCCGGCCGCGGGATACTGCGCCGCGTCATTCAAAAACAAAACATGGAGGAGATTAAGAAACTTCGTCCAGCTCCATCACAATTTCAAATCTGATGTTTGGAAGCATTTTGGTTTTAATAACAAAGGTAAAAATGAAGTTGATATGATGCACCCAATTTGCAAACACTGCTACACCAGAATTAAATACTGTGGGAACACAACAAACCTAAAACACACATGCGGAGGCGCCATCCAGAAAATCAAGAGCCGCCAGCGCCGCAAAATGTGCTTCAACAAACAACTTTCAATTGCAAGCTAGCCCCAACATCTACATGTGCAAAGAAGATTACAGAGTCCTTCACGAGTTCATTTGCCAGGATTTGCGACCATATAGTTTGGTGGAGAACCAATGCACTTTTTTGGCTCAGTTTGTCCTCTTGTGTTTATGGAATGATATTGTTATAATGGCAGCTACTTCCAAAATGTTTTAATTTCATTGAGTTAAAGGACCACTGAGGCCATGATAATCCTTATTTTGTTATTTTTAGTTTTATAAATCCTAAGCACTTTTTGTCAATGTGTCCACTCCAGCAATAGTAATATTTGTGTCCAGTTACAGTAATATTTGTTTTCATGGCAACATCTCCAAAAGTCGTTTCAATAAATACAGCTATTTATGTATGCAGTTGTTTTCAGTTATTTATCAATTGGAAGACACTACCCAGATCATACTAAGCCAGTCAGCCACTGGTAATGGCTGTATTTTTTTCTAACAGTGTTCAGTGAAAATATTGCAATGCATCGCAATAATTCAAGTATCGTGATGCATCGTGATAGAATTGCATCGTGGCCTGTGAATCGTGATTCGAATCGAATCGTGACTTCTTTGGCAATACCCACCCCTACTTACTACCAATGATCAACCGATATATTATTTTACAAAATTATTTAAAATTGAACAACATATTAAGTGATATGAAAATTCTGGTGCTTTAAATAATACGTTAAAAATAAACATACAGCATAGAGTAATTGCAAGAGTTATGAACACTCTTCAAAATAATTTTTTTGAGTTATAAAAATGAAGTAAATAGTAACAGTATGTAGAATAGTTAAATTTAAACATACTGTTTACTGTATATTCAGTCAACCTCCAAATGACACGGCAGGCTCAGATAGAAAATAACCTCCAAAATGCTTTCTTAAGAAGAAAGTTTGTCTCTCAATGCTACATAGTTTATTTAAAAGAAGCTTGTTTTCATCAAGTAAAGTTACAATAGATGGAGCAGACAGCAGGGTTACTAAAGTTTCTGAAGTACCTGTAGCTGAGTAAACAGCCCACATATGGCCACACAACACTGCAAACAAGTTGTAAAATGGTTTGAATTTCCCTTGTTCTTTGGGACTTAGTTAAAGCAGGCTGTTTATATTGATTTGCCTCCTCACTGGCTCACCAGAGCATTATGACTTTGGCAAAGCTGTTAATAGGCTGAAATAATTACAGCAAATCTGTTTTTAATGTCCTTTCTTACAATAAAGGAAATAGTCATGCAGTTATTCACAGGAAAGAAATTTGTGTTCTTGACCAACAAAAACTTTATTGTTTTTGTTGAAACAAAGGGGAAAATGAGAACATTTGGAAACAGATGTGGTTTAGGTAGGATCTGTGCAAGCTTGAGTTATCATCTCAGTTTTTTCAATTATTTACTTTTTTTTTTTACATTTAATAAATACTTTTTAACTGTTTTGAGAACCTTCATCAGCATTTAATAAATACAAAACTTTTTTTAAATCTTTTTATTAACGTTCTTTTATTTTTTTCTTCAGAGCTTTGACATTTTAAAGTAACCTCTTTACTGAGTGCTAGGGTCATAGAGAGGAAAAAACAATCCTGTTTAAAACTTTTAATAGCAGCAATAAAACCATTCTTGCAGAGACCACACTTCCTTTGTGGTATGCATCTGTACATATTGCATTTATGAAAATATAAACCAAAGAGTATGTCAAAACCACATTTTATATGCATGTGGGATTTATTACTTATGAAAACTATACAGAGCAGCAAATTTCAAATTATTGTTTGGTTTAAAGAACTGTATTCACTAAAATCCTCCTTCATTCCCACCCACTGGTGGATTCATAGCCTTGTGGTGTCAGAAGCAAATGCAAAGAGAAAGGGATAAAGCTTCTAGTGTTTTGTGTTTCTTGTAATAGGAAAAAAAGAGAGAGACCAGCTCATAGGACGAAGATAAATGACTGCAAAGTGTGGCACGTGTGTCACCAAAGCCTGCTTTGTTTTAATTCTCTGATCTATGATGCTGAATTGCAAAAAGATATAAATAATGTAGATTAAAAATTAAATCAAGAGAAAACGAGTCACTGTGCTGAATTAGAAGCAGTAGAGGATCTAAGAATCTTATATATCTTAATGCAAAACATGGGGGACAAAGATGCTGCAAAAAGTCCAGGTAGAGTGGCAATGCTGGACCTCGGTTTGCTCAGAACCAAAGATAAATTTTAGGTATAGGCTAATATGAAGGACCAATTCTAAAATGATTAAAAATATATATGTAAAGGCAAATATAAATGCATAAATTGGTTAAATGCAGAGAGTGAATTTTGTTGCTCTGTACTTGTGTAATGACAATAAAACGCTGGGGGAAAAATCTATTTAAAAGGTCGTCTCGGGACATGACATGGACTTTGGTTGTACTTCTGCTGTGAAAATAACATACCATTCCGCAATAAACCTTTCCAACGATGAGCTCCGGCCCATCTATCCTCAGGTTTTGGAAGCTGCCCATCACCACCTACGTCATCATCTCTTTTTGTTTCACCTGTGGTGGTTGTGAGGAAGAAAATCAGCAGTCAGATTCTGCATCGACTATTGGAAACTCAACCTTCAAACAATAAAGGATGCATATCCTCTACCCACTTTGAAGGAATCATTTTCTGCCCTTTGTTGTTCAACGTGGTTCTCAATACTCAACCTAAAGTCTGGTTATTAGCAAATTGAGATGTCCGATGAAGACAAGCACAAGACTTTCTGGAGTTTACAAGAATGCCCCTATTTGCTCAAAGCACGTTCCAGAGCATGACAGAGTGCTGCATGGGAGAACTTTATCTAAGAGAAGTGTTGGTATTATTGGATGGCATAATCATATTCTCAGACACTTTGGAAGAGGATGAATGGACGCTTCCCATTTGTGACAAGATAGTTACAAATGGGAAAATAAATTAATTGAGAGCTTTCATTTACTCCTGTATGTATGACATGTTGGCATTAAATGATGAGGAACTTCACAATTTTGCATTTATTTCCAAATACCTACAATTGGTGAATCTAAATAAAATAATAAAACCAAAATAAAATCTTACAAAATCTTCTGAATGCTAAATTTTTGTGATTTTTGTTTTCTAAGCACATTTGAAGATTTGAGCTATTTAATTTCTAAGGCTTCAGCATGTTTCCACATGGGGGAGACATGCACCTTTCATCACAGACTTTTTAGAATACAACTAAAAATAAAAAATAAAAAATAGAAGAAATGCCTAAAGATATCCTGCTCAGAAAAAGGTTTTTCAAATCAGGAACTCTTTCTATGACACACTCTGGAATTTAAACACAGGAGGAAAAAGCGTCAGACTTAGAGAGAGTGAAAGTGGGGAGAAGAGGAGAGACCTTCACGCTGTAGCCCTTCAGCTGTTTATCATCTCCTTTTCAACTATGGATTCATCACCACAAGATTTACTCTGAGGGCCTGAAAAGGACGCAGGGCAGAGACGGGAGGCAGACAGAGGAGGAAGAAAGCAGGAAAGCCCCTGGCTGAAAGAAAGAAACAGCAGCTGTGAGAAAAAGGAGAACAAACCATAAAGAAAGGTAGGGGAAAGCAGGAGCGAGGAGTTTCGTTTTTTCCACTCAACGCAAGAAAGGAAACGGAAAAAGAAGGAGAGGGGCGATAAAAAGAAAGGACAGAGGGAGAAAAGCTGTCCTGACATGGGGTTTTGCACTGTTCTTCTCATCTGTCTATCCCAGGCTGAGCTTGGAAGGGTTTGGGCCCAAGAGTATAAAGGTAAGCAAAATAACTTACAGCTTTAACTGACTTCCTGTAAAAGCAGACAGTTGACTGCTGCAGAGAAAAACTTTGAAAGGTCACTGCAATTGAAAACAAACCCAAAAAATAACTGAAATCTGTAGCTCAGAAAACAGGAATATTTGCATGATTTGCACATTCATCAAGCGTTAACAGGTCCAATATATTTGCTTTCAATTGGCCAATATAAACTCTCCTTAGACCATCCGATTTTGTTAAAAAATAAGTATGTTGTTGCAGGAAATCGTAACTTCTAGGGAATAAATGTTTGAGGTTTAACAGTAATTTGAGTAATTGGGTTTCAGTGCAATGGAATAAACCTTTATAAAGCAGCAGCTGAGCTGAATGTAATTTTATTTGCAAAGTTTATTACTGTTTTATTGCTGTAAAAAAATCATATCTAGACTTTTTTATACTGTATACTCCTCTCCTACTGTCAGTGAGAGTGTCAAGTGTGTAAATGTACATGTATTTCTGTTCTCCTTTGAGATGCCTTATTTTTAGCCAGCCCCCGTTCCTCTGCTGCTGTTCCTTCACTGACAATCAGTGGTGCTCCAGTTTTTCTGGCCTCTCCTGTGGTCCTAGTTTCTCTGATCAAGGGCCCAGTTGTGCAGAGGACGCTCCAATGAATAGAGACCACCGAGACAAATCTCTTCTCCATATATATACAAAACCTTGAAAAAGTTTTCATATTCCTTGAAGCAGTTGTCAAGAAAAGGTGATGCATAGCTTTAAGAAGTTTGCAAATTAAAATCTGAATGGTGTGGTGTGCATTTATATTAAACACACATTTTTTACTACTCAGCTAAACTGTATTTTGCTGCAATTACAGCAGGAGGTTATTTGAGGTATGTCTCAGGCAATTTTTATCCTATTTGCAAAATACTTAAACCTCTACTAAATTGGATTGAAGACCAATTTTAGGATGAAACCTAAGATTCCTAATTAGATATCAACCTAGACTCTGACTTTGCCCCTTGAACTAATGAATATGCTTGGATCTGAACCATTTTCATGTCTAAAGTCCCATTTTTTGGTGCCTCCAAAAGGGTCTCCATCAGGATTTTCCTGTATTTAACTCTATCAGTCTTTTAATCATTTCCTGTTCAGCTTTCATGTGCCCTCTGAAGAAAAGCATACCCACAGAATGGTACCTCCCTCGCCATGTTTAAAGATTAGCATGGGGTGTTTGTGTTAATTCATTGTGTCAGCTGTACCCCAAAGGTTTAAATATCATCTCTGCTGTTTCCCCTCCTGTTATAAACATTGTGAATTGCATTTTTATAACTTTATACTTTTATTCTAAACTTCATCCATGAATCAGGATTGCACACATATTGTGGTGGGCATGACTAATGGGCTGTCCTGTTAACAGATTTTCCCAGATTAGTTGGGATCTCTCCTGCTCCCCCAGAGCTGCATTGGACACCCTTACTGTATTTCTGATTAATGTTCTATTGCCTTTGTATATTTTAATTTTCAGACGATGGACTCAACAATGGTTTGAGAGATGTTCAGAGCTTGGGACAATGTTTTAGTACATAAACATTACAAACATCTCTACAGCTTCTTTCCTGACTTATCTGCTCTGTAATGTAACAGCTTGATATTGCTACTGATATTGCTTTGTATACAGGAGAACTCATTTTATTTTACTTTTCATTAAAGGAAAAGTCCGGTCAGCAAGGAATAATTAATGTATCATTATCCATACCTAAAACTAATATATTTGCGGGGATTTAATTAATTTACCGTCAATCAGTAAAAAATATATATATAAATTGTTGTCATAATCACTGAGTCTGGGAGCGGCCATTTTTGCCCAAATATAGTAACACCTCACTCCTGACATCTTCTGGCAGTAACGTCACGGTGCGGTAAGCCTAGCGCCATTCTCCCCGCTTTACAAGCTAAATCAATGGGAACTACTAGACACATCTGCAATCAACAACAATTATTGAAGATTTCCAGAGGACTTCACCATTGAAATTCACCAGAGCTATAGTTAAACTGACAATGCCCAGGTGCATGGCAGTTGGATGTTGGTATACATCACCATTCCGATTCCTGATCCTCTACGGACGGGTTGGTCGGTGGATTGCCAACTTGAAGAGGGAGGATTTGCCATCAAACTTCTGGCCAGAGAAAAAACACGTAATATGTAGCCAACATTTGGTAGAAGAATGATTCAAGATGACTTGAATAATAGTGCGTTGTACCAAAACACCAGCTAAAGCATTGGGACTTGCTCAACAGCCGATACCGCACCGTGACGTCACAGACCGGTAGGTGACAGTAGTCTTCTTTGAAAAACATGGATGTCTCCAGTAAAGCACATTAAAAGGAAATTACTCATAATTTAAAAACACTTATCATCTATTAAACAGTATGTAATAATTTCATATTTAACATACTTTCAGAAGTTTGTATTCTGAATATGAGCGACATTTAGTTGTTTTTTGTATTTGAGCAAAGGGGTAGAACATGTGCAAACCATACCTTTCCAGATTTTGATTTGTAAAACAATTTGAAAAGCGGGTTGGTTTTGTTCAGCTCTCTGTAATTCACTGCTTTGATTCAGAAAGGTCTAAAAACATCATTTTTTGTTCTTGTTTTTTTTTTGTGATGTGAAAACATTAAACAAGTATAAGTACTTTAGAGTACAGAGTGAGACAAACTAAAATCTGTCAAAATTTCAACACATCTCTGTAGATATTTAGATTCGTCGTTTAGTTTGAGATACTATAGTGCCAACTGACATCAGAAAGTGTAGTAACTTCCCACTATATCTGAAATAGCTGTTTGACAGTCAACGCTAATTGGCAATTATCCGTTTATTTATTACTAGAATAGATTTATTTTCCACAGCTGAGTAAGAACCAAGCTTAAACCAGACTTAACCATCAAGACAATCTGGACTCCACAAATCTGCAGTTGATCAGCAGTAAAATGCAACAACTAAAGTTCGGCAGAAAACACTTGTTTTGGACCAGATTTTCTAAATTTATTGATACAGACCGGCCTAATAATTGCAGGTTTAATCTGAAAATCAGATTTTACTATAAGTGAGATTATTGAGCAAAGTTTTAATAAACATCCCATTTATCCATACCTGCCTTATCCTTTTTTAGAACTCAAAACCAGTTGGTGAGTTGAAATCTGAATTTTATTTAAAAAAGCTGCTGTAATGATGAGAAAACATAAAATCTATTCTACACTGCTTTCACTTAGCTACTGACATCTGTGCTGCAACATGTAGTCTCAATGCAACAATAGTTTATTACAGTAAGACAATTATTCCAGCATGTTACTATTTGCACATCAGCAATAAACATTATGAACCTCCCGGCCTGCCAGGAATGCTCTTTGATTTGCAAGCATTTGGCCTTAAATCCAAGTATAACGCAAAGCAGAGAATGGAACTCACAAAGCAACAGGTTAAAGTTCTCCATAACTAAGGATCTATTATCCCCATTATAATTTTTGTTGGCAGTCTATTAATTATTTGTTGTGACCTTTAGCTAAGAAATATCACTGCTCTAAATTAAAGAATAGTATTAAACTAATTTGGTCAAATTTACAGTTGGAACTCTGGCTTAACTTCTATTAATAATATACTAATTCTTTCCATTTTGTGACATGTTTTGGCAAGTCACAAGGATTCATACTGATTGCATGTTTTTAACAACCATTAGGAACCATAGTAAAGATATGTAAAGGGAAAAGAAAGCCTTAAATAGTTGTGGCGTTGGATGAAGGTGGTTGCCTTTCAATTGGATGGTTGTCAGTTCAAGCCCTAGCTCTGACTTGTTGTTGTGTCCTTGTGCAGACACTTCAACCGCATTGTCTACTGATGGTGGCCAGAGGGCCAGTGTACTATAGCCTTGTTTCTTTCAATGAGCCCCAGGGCAGCTGTGGCTACAATGTAGCTTGCCACCATCAGTGTGTCTGTGTAAATGACTGAATGCAGTTTAAAGGTCTAGTCTCCTGACTTGAAAAAAAACTATACAAGTACAGGCCTTTTAACCTTTAAATAAGCACATGGAGGTCAAGCATTTTTGTGCCTGTTTACAAGTAGTGGTACGATGGAGCAGGGGAAGTATAGATAGGTTTTGGCCTTGCCTGTTGTACTAGGACAGGCATCCCCAAACTCGGTCCTCAAGGCCCCCTGTCCTGCAGGTTTTAGAAGTTTTTCTGCTTCAGCACAGCTGGTTATAATGATTGCAGTAGACCAAAAGCCTGTTAATCAGCTTTCAATTAAAATCAGCTGTGCTGGAGCAAAGAAACCTCTAAAACCTGCAGGACAGGGGGCCTTGAGGACCGAGATTGGGGATGCCTGTACTAGGACATTACGTGTAAAGTTCTTCATTTATCAACCTGTCAATCCCTCCTGAAGGGTGCAAACTTTTTGTCCCAATCTAAATAAAGACCAAAGGAAGACAAATAAATGAATCAACACATGGATGGATGGATGGATGGATGGATGGATGGATGGATGGATGGATGGATGGATGGATGGATGGATGGATGGATGGATGGATGGATGGATGGATGGATGGATGGAAAGTCACAGGCAGAAAGAAGATACAGGATGAAGAAATGAGACTCACAAGGGCAGGACTGGCGCTGTGGTAAACTTTAGCCACCAGCAAAGCCGGCAAGAGAGTACACAGCACCATTTTCGAAGTACTGCAGTGGTGATGCTCTTCAATGTTTACTACATGACGGTTTACTTTAAAAAAAATAATAATTTTTTCTATATATTAATAATTTAATCTTGTTCTGCTACTACTACTACTACTGAAACTACTGTCGAAGCCATTGGGGGCCACATGCAGTACCATTTGATGTCACATTTGTAAGACTGCGCAGGAAATCCGGCCCCCAAATAAGAGTTTATTGTGCAGCAGACATAATATTCAAGGAAATTGAGAGATAAGTGGGTGGGCTAGTTGGTTTTGGTTTTAAAAGCTTAATCA